AGGCAATGATCAAGATGACTAAGCAACCTGAAGGATGTATGACTCAGTGGGCTATTGCAAGAGTATTAGCTTCATGACATGCATCTTAGTCATCTTCATAAAGGATTCATTGTTTTGGAAAAATAAGGGACTAAAAAATGGTGTGAAGCACTAATTTTATTAGATAAAAATTGAATTATTTGCTTAGATAAAGCCAAGTTAACTGTGGCAGGGTCAATTTCACATAAATTCTGCCAATGAGTCAGAATACCATTTGCAATTATGCCCTCCAATCTAGAATCTATTAAAGCACCTAACTAAACCCAGTGCCTATGAATGGCCATTTATATAATGGGATTTAGTAAAAGTCCTAAGGAAGCAACATATTTTGAGAAATAAGTTTTAATTAGGATTGTGTAATCTCTTCAAGCAGAATAGTGATTATGATTTAATATCAGGAAGGTTAGAGACTTATCATTAATAATTTGTTGCTAATTTACCGCAAGTAGTTCATATTCAAAGTCATTATGCTATATTTTGTTTTGTGTATTTTAACTCTCCCTGCTTTCCTTTACATATTCTATCATAAGGTTTTTATAATAGTATTTGTCCATGAAAGCCAACAACCTCTCCCCTCCTTTTACTAGGCAGCAAAATTAGTTTGTCTTTCTCTGTGGAATAGAGATGCCATTAAGATGGTCAGAAACAGTGAGAGGTTTCAGGTGGATAATTTCTAGCATAACTCCACATTAACACAATGATGATTACATTTTAAAAATGGATCCCCAATTTTAAAAACGGAAGTTAAAATTTAATAAGGTTTCAAATTAATATCTGTCAAGGACATTAGGCTCTGAGACTAGAAAAGGCACTTGCAGAAGTTTAGCCAGTTGTATACTCGCACTATCTTCCGTAACTATCATTAAAGCTCAAGCCCTTCGGTGATTGACAGCTAGGAATCTCATATCTTGTTGCAATAGGATCCAGGATAGTGCACTTATGTGACCTTGTCTCCTTTGTCGGGCCAGGTCTCTAGAAACATCAATTTTGGTAGAACAACTGTTCAAAACAGCTATCTTAAGAAGTATAGAAATTTTACTAATGAAGTAAATGTTAATACCTCACGTGAACACCCAAATTCTAGCTCAGATGTTACCCCAGAAATTTCTGTTTCAGCAGTCAAAAGACTACCATTATGATCAAACAATTGCAGTGATTATTAAGGTTATTATTAAATGAACAATGCCTGTACTCTTAAACCACATTCCTGATCAACTTCTAACCAATTTGCAAATTGCACTTTTCTGCATTCTGTAAACAGACTGTCTGGTCCCTAAAGCATAACGCTTATCTTCAATTACAATGACATCCTCTGCATCAATGGTTCTTGAAATGTGATCTGGGGACCACTGAGTATTCTCAAGATACTTTCAGGGGATTCAAAAAGTCAAAACCATGTGCATAATGCTAAGACATCCTTTGTCTTTTTCCATTCTCATTCTCTGATAGTGTATGGTGAAATTTTCCATAGCTTACCTGATGTTAACACACAATGGGTTTACTATTGTTTTTTTTTAAAAGACAGCTATTTTCAAAAATTCTGTTTTAATTTCTAATACGGTAAATATCAATAGACATAACTCATACATACAGGCGTTTTATGGTTCTCAATACTTCCTAAAGTGTGTAGAAGGGTCCTGGAACCAAAACAGTTTGAGAATCACTGCTCTAAACAGAATAGTGCAAGACTGCCTGTATGAAGCACCAAATAAACCCTTGCCACCTCTTTAGATATATATTCAAGGAATATTATTTCAGATAATCTCTATACTTGGAATCAGTAAATTTAGTACCTACTGGATACACTACAGTGTATGTGACCATTAACTACCTTCTGTGAGGATCCAGGGTCATTTAAACCAGAACTCTGGTTTAAAAACTGTATCATGATTTGTTTGAGTAATATTTCAAAATAGAGAAAGATATACCTCAATGTAGAAAGATACATCTTAATTTATACTAAAAAGAGGTTTTTAATCACTTTACTATTTTTTTCTGGGTAAAGTTGTTTTACTCCAACCATAACCAGAAGAAGAAAAATATATAAAACTGAACAATGACTGCAATTTGCATGTCCCTTTAAACAAAATTAGAAAGAATAATGTAACATGTTTTTAAAAAATTATGCTAGGAAAGCAATATGACTCATTTTTACAATAAAGTGCAATGTTTTGGATATAATGATAAAAATTATAAAAGTTTGCCAAGCAGGTCTATGGAAACATGAGGAAAATGTGTCCAAGTTTGCTTTTCTTTCTTGTTAATGCGTTTTAAGTCATTTCATAAGCTATAGAGTACATTTGTAAATAGTAATCAAGATAACATGTTACTCTTTGAGGAACAATTTTGTCCAGGGCCTCAAAGTTCAAAATTAAAGTATGCTTATTTTAGAAGGCAAAATACTGCTTAGTAAACATCCAGTAACTTATGGATTAATGCATTCATCTGGATGGCATGTACTAACCATTTAGACTGCAAAAAGGAAACCTTTTGAAAGAAAAGACAACTTTAAGGAACTGAAATTCTAATATTATAGTACCATTATCAGTGAACAAATTCCATCTCTAAGTGTTAATGTAAAATAAGTTGAGATACCATTTGTAAGAGTATAAAATTAGTTTTGTTAAGGGATGTTTTAAGCAGAGATTCCTAAAGACTTAGGCATGCTTTGAAAAAAAAATCTTTGTATGTACTTTGGTTTTACTGAATGTTCCGGCTGAAGCTCAATGCAATGATAAAGATTTTTTGTTGTATTTTAGATACAACTGATATCTGTGTGTAAACATCAAGCTCAGTAAAATGCATTTGTCAGAGCTCTTACAAATCTTTAGATACTAGAAGCAGAAATGTCCCATCAAGTATCACTAGAACCCAGTATGAAGAGTTCACAAAAGCACACAGTTAAAACCTGTCAGTTAATTTTGTTTTCTATCTATAATAATAAAAGTGTAACATGCTAATTAGACTGGACAGCCAAACAACCTTCTGGAAGTCCTTCTGGATGAAGCCACAATGGCGGGGGCCGAGTCAGAGGCGGTTAAGGGTGATCAGGCAGGCAGATGAGCAGATAGGGGTATCAGGCAGGCAGGCGAGTGGTTAGGGGTGATCAGGCAGGCAGGCGAGCAGTTAGGGGCAATCAGGCAGGCAGGTGAGCGGTTAGGAGGCAGCAGTCCCAGATTGCAAGAGGGATGTCTGACTGCCAGTTTAGGCCTAATGCAGGGATTGGGCCTAAACTGGCAATTGGACATCCTCCGAGGGGTCCCAGATTGTGAGAAGGTACAGGTTGGGCTGAGGGACACCCCCACCTCCATGCATGAATTTCATGCATTGAGCCTCTAGTGTAGTATAAAATTCATTATTCATTGACTAGCAAAGCAGAAAATAAAATCAAGAATGTCAGTTTGTTTTACAGAAGTGAGATACATGGTGATGCCAATGTGGCAGACTTTAACCAAACCTGAAGGTCTACATCTATATATATAAAAGAGCAATATGCAAATTGGCTGAACGGCGGAACAACCAGAATGACTACTTGACCAGTCACTATGAGGCGCACTGATCACCTCTCGGTCCCTCCCCTGGGCCAGCAGGCTCCAATCTCCCGACGGTGAACAGGGAACCAAGGATGGGTGGTGGCGGGGGGCAGGCCCGGTTGCCGGCAGCTGGGGAAGATGGCCCTGATCACAGGCCAGACCTAGGGACCATACCCGCACACAATTTCGTGCACTGGGCCTCTAGTAGATCAATATTTGTGTCCAATCTTCTTTAGTATTTCTATGCATCTGGCCTTGGAACAAATCATTTAGTTTTCTGACTAAATTTATTCAGGCTTTGGACAGAATCAACTTACCAGCACTGAAGTATTATTTGACACAATACCACTTTTTGGGCTAGAAATACACTATTGCACATACCAAGCAACTAGTATGTGGCTAACTAAAGAAATGGCAAGCAGGATGGATAAAATTAAAAATAAAACTATGATTACTAGTATGACTAAGGCCATCAACTCACTATTGTTGATGGGAGGTACAATAACTGTTGCAATACAATCATTTGATGCTTTCAGTTGCCTACTCATCATTGAAAAACTGGCAGTATAATGACTTTCAGAAAGGACAGCAGGTATGTATGATCCTTTTTTTGGTGTGAGTTATGCATTTTGGCAACATACAGATTTAGAATGGGGCACAGGACAAGGGTTAAGAAGGAGAACAAAAGCAAGATGAAAATAATCTGCAAAAGAACATTAAAAATATACTTGATGTAGTAAAGCTATGGATTACTACTAGGTACTAGAGAAAGCAGACCATCTGTTAAGGCTATCAAAGACAGTTCAGATCACTTTGAGCAAACAAGAGGCACCAAGAGAGATACCAATAACAATCTCTCAACTAGCCCATGGTTATAACAAAATGAGTCTTTAAAAAGATCAGGATCCTGATTATAGAAACAAGAAGCATGCACAGAGAGTGTAAACAGGTACCTGAGTGGGAAACAGATAAGTTTAGATGTTGCCAGGACAGGACTAGAAGCCCTGTTTAAAACTCCAAGAAATTAAAAATACTACATGTCACTAGAAATGGCCACTAGAATGAACATGAAATAAATTCTCTAGCAAAACGCCATTATCAGCACCAAGTTCATGCTGAAAATGTCTAGGATTGAATCTGGTCAACAATCACTTAGGAAATTCAAGGCTCTTAAATTATTATTAGATTATTTCCCCCATCACTACCAGCCCTTTCAGAATTTCAAGGAATCAATGCCAACACTTCTATATGTAGGTAATTACAATTCCGTTGTGCAATGTTTTTGTATTTCTCTTTTATGGTGATATGTTCACTTCTTAAGATAGTTTTAAATAAGTGTAGAAATTGGAAACAAAGAAACTTTTTGCCTATTGTCCATTTCCATTTTCCCACAAGCATCCCCAGATAAAGTAATCCTGTGGTTCTAACCTCTTAAATCCTGTTGTGTGCGAACACCACCCATGCTCTGTCTTGGCATTCGAAGAGAAGTTCTCAAAGGTGTATGCCTCTGCTCATCCAGGTAAGCAAGGTCCTCCAAGTGGGCAGAACTTGTGGCTGACAAGACAGAAGAGTTTAGTCAGAATACTTAAGTTTTAAAAACTTACTTTCAGTTAGTCTGTATCTCCCGAACGCTGGAATCAGAGCTTACTCCAGCAGATACATTTACCAACTGTTTGCTGAATTCAAAATCCTCATCAGTGTCTAGAATATGGGCCAGGGAAACATGTCAACAGTTGTCTTTAGCTCCTTCATCATTATCAACTGCTTGAGCTTATAGAGAATACTAGCAAGCAGTTGGCAAACCTTAGTACCTGATAACAAAGATTATTAGTTTTTGTTTCTTTTGGGGTCACAAATCCCATTACAGAATAAGATATAAACATCATCAATCAAGAAACCTTGTTTCAAATTATATTGAGTTTTAAGAAAAACATGACATTTTATTTTCCACACTTTTCTTGCATGATAATTAAATATGTCCCTAGCTGGTTTGGCTCAGTGGATAGAGTGTTGGCCTGAGGACGGGAGGGTCCCGGGTTCGATTCCAGTCAAAGGCACATACTAGGGTTGCGGCCTGATCCCCAGAGGGGGTGTGCAGGAGGCAGCCGATCAATGATTCTCTCTCATCATTGATGTTTCTATCTCTATCTCCCTAACCCTTCCTCTCTGATATCAATAAAAATATATTTTAAAAAAAGAATCAAATATGAAACCAATTTGTGTGTGTGTGTGTGTGTGTGTGTGTGTTATGTAAGAGAAAGGTGGGAACCTGAGACAATGGATAGAGAACTGCCAAATAGTATTTAGAAAACTGCCAATATCCATGAATTCCAAAAACATTCTGTTGCTATCTCAAGATAATCAAGTATTAAGGCCCTCCCATTCCATGTATAAATCCTTTAACTCCTAACGCAGCCACAAAAGAGAAAGAAAATGGGACTGACATTGCCGAGTATTGAGAGCTGTTGGGTCCACTTAAAATGATCCAAAAAATGAAGAAACCAAGAACCAGAAAGCACTGAGACAGAACAGTTTTTAACAAAAAGGGGAAAAACTCTCAAACAGTTATTTAGAGCTTATAAATTTTTTATTAAACCATTAATTCAATTTGTTGCTATGTAAGATCTGTGCCAGGGGTAGGTTCAGTCATTCAACGGCAGTTATTTACTGAGAACCTACCATATGCCAGGCACTGTTCTTGGTGCCCTCCTTGGCTTAGTTGCCAGTTTACCTCTGATAACTGTTTTGAATGGGTGAGAAGAAGCAAAGTGAAATCACTTCTTGGCTTCTGAGATCCAATGGAGTATTATTGTCTATATCCCCAATCAAAGTAAGACACAAACAACGATAACATAAGGTGAATTATGAACAGTGGCACAAAAAAATTTACACAGAGCTCTATGAGCTAAGAGAGAAAAAACAAAACAAAACAGAGAAAACAGGAGAGAAGGAAGAAGAGAAAAAAATAGAACAAGTGCAGGAGATAAATATTCCCCCTCATCCTTCAATTACTGTAATTGTCTTGGTTACCTAGGTCTGTTGGAAACTCAGACAAAAGACTTACCAAGTTATGATACAGTTTCTATAAAAAAATAAAGGTCTTTGAAAACTAGTCTAGGGAACTTACACCAAGAAAGGGAAGTCAAATGCCACATTACTCATCACCAGAGGGAGGAAGAGAGTATCAGAGGAATAAAGATAATCTGGCTCTCAGCATTCTGAAATTAAAACTATCTAGAGTAGATAACTATCTAATCTTTTATTGAAAAACACTGGGGACAATGACTCTTACATCATTCCCACTGTATCTATGAATTAGTTCTTATGTTTAATATAATCCCTCCTGCTTTACCCAAAGTCTACTTTCTTTTGTTTGGCTCTTTATCCATTAAAGGGAGCCCTCAGAGGTTCCATCTGCACAGAGCCTTCCTTGGAGCTCAGAAATATTAGCATCAGTTGAGCAGGAGCCAGTTCACAGAGATATGAGTTTTAACTTTGTGGGGTCATTCCTCCAATCTTCCATGGTTTAACAATCTCAACCTCTTTTCCTGTTTCACAGGCTCAGAGGTGGTAGCTGCTTCCTGCAGTTGCTAAATCCATGATACCTCAGTAAATTACCCTTTCAGTGATTTAAAATCTAGTTAACAATTGTTCTCATGTCAAATTTTCTGTTAAAATACCTATGTGGTTTCTGTCTCCTGGCTAGCCTCTAACTGGTATATCATAGAAAATAAATGACCAGCAATCCCTGTCTATGATGTTTATAATAAAGAATTATCACAGCATGCAGATGTAAAAGAAATCTTAAAGGTCATCCAGTCTAGAGGTCAGCAAATTAAGGCCAGTGGATGAAATCTGGCTTGCTGCCTATCTTTGTAAGTCAAGTGTTATTGGAATATATACAGCCTTGCCTGTTTAAGTATTCATTTACAACAGAATTGAGTAGTTGTGGCAGAAGCCACTTGGCTTGCAAAGCCTAAAATACTCGCTGGTCTTTTAGTAAAAAAATCTGTTGATTCCAATCTAAACAAGTCCCCTCATTTTAGATTAAGAGACAGTAAGAGTGCCCTGTCTAAAGTGAGTCACTTTGGTAGAACCAGGCTTGGAAACCAGCATCTCAATCCAGTGAGTGTTATTTACATTGTACCACCCGCCCCCTCCTTTTAAAGCTACACAAATCTAATTCTCTCTTAAAAGGCTTATTTTCCATCTCTTATTCATCTTTGCCACTTTTCTTCAACCCCGTTATTTATGGCTTTGAATAGCAATAATCAAACTGAGGCCTTGCTAACGTAAAGTAATGATGCCTGGCATGTCTCAGACTAATACATCTCTGCACTTCGAATATTTTCCACAGGAAGAAACAAAAGAATAAAGCCCCCATTTTTTTTAAAATAAAGAAAGTCCTCATAACATACTTTTAAATCTGATAAACAGAAGAGTAACATAAAAAGAAGATCAATTACAATGAGAATCTTTTATGCACATTAAATAACAAAATTTAAAGTAAACCTTAACGGCCGGATGAGTGATTTAGTTACCATTATGGGAATATTAACAGCACAGTATATAATTTTAAAGCAAGATCCTACCAGGGTACTATGTGCCAATACATTAAAATGGTTTGATATATTTTAATAAAAAGAATGAGAATGTCTATTTCATTAATAGCAGGCAGAATGACATAGAAATATATAACATGGAGTGGAGCAAAAAGCTGTTGCAAGAAAAAAGCCTTGAATCTATCCTTTTTTATGTATTATATCCTTCTTCAAATCTTTTAAAGATTAAACTAAGGGAGATCTATACCTCGAGTATAAATTTAAATTAAAAAACATTTATATAATCCATTGAAATTTCTTTGTATTAGAAAAAATCTCTGGCAAGGACTTTTAGCCACAGCCTGACTTTCTACATGTTCAACTTCTTAAATTCAATTAAGAGCTATTGGCAACTTAAAAAAAATTTTTTTAATTGATTTCAGAGAGGAAGAGAGAGGGTACGTGAGATAGAAACACCATTATTAGAGAGAATCATTGAGAGGGTGCCTCCTGCACATCCCTTAATGGGGATCGAGCCCACAATCCAGGCATGTGCCCAGATTGAGAACTGAATAGTGACTTCCTGGTTCATAGGTCAATGCTCAACCACTGAGCCACATTGGCCAGGCAACGTTCATAAAATATAAATTTTAGTGTGAACTTACGTTTTACTAAATTAATCTTTACTATAGTAATTCCTAGGAAAATGAACATCAATTTTTTTATTGCTTTATTTAACAAAACCAAAAAATGCAGTAAAATATTTTGGAATGAGTACATTCCTCAATTTTGGACAGACGACATTAAAAGAAACAGACAAACATTGCAATTACCGATCTGTATGAATAGTACATTCTTTCACAAATCCAAATACTCATGGGCAAAATGAACCTAAAAAAAAGCAGTGACACTGAATATCAAGTGCAACAGCTCTGAAGTCCTTATTCAGGGCTTAGATCTGAAATCAGTCAATGCGGAACTACTGCTTCAACCTGAACTGCAGTTAAATATGGTTAATGTTTACCTAAGTTTATTAAAATATTCATTCTTTATTTTATGTTAGCAATTAAGATATTTTTGATATCTATCACTATTTTCTTTATCAAATTAACCCAAAGTAATTTTATTGCCTTTTTCTTCATTAAATCATTATTCTCCTTTCTAAGTTTCTGCTATTTTCAGTTTCTTTCTGCTTACCCATTTTCAAAAATCTTGTCCCTTCAAATGCCTTATTCTTTAAAAGCATGAGAGTCAGGAGACATGAAATTCTGTTAGCCGTGTCTCTTTGTTCTACTAACTGTATGTAGTTGTACTCTCCCTCAGAGTCACTCGAATCTTTTCCATTTACAAACCACTTTCTGAGAAAGAGTCTTTGTCATACTTTGTCAAATGGGATCTCATTCCTTGTCTAAATTTGCTCAGGCAAATACTTTTTCTGCTTCTCTGACTGATCCCTCAGTCAGATTTTGCTTCTCCCTTTCAGCAACCACGTACAAATATTGCTAATTAGAACTTGTGTTATTCAGCTAGTTGTTTACATGACTGTCTTCTCTTATTATTAAAAGGTTCTTGCGCTGGCCAGATGGGTCAGTTGGTTGGAACGTCATCCCATACACCAAAAGGTTGTGGGTTCAATTCCTAGTCAGGACACATACCTAGGTTTTGGGTTTCATCCCCAGTCAAGGTGCATGCGAATAGCAACCTATCGGTCTCTCTCTCTCACATCAATGCTTCTCTGACAATTAAGTAAAACATATCCTTGGGTGAGGATAAAAAAAATTATAGAAGGTTCTTGAGGACAAGAAAGCAACATCTGATTCATCTCTGATAACATTATCCCTTCAGAGTAAATCAGAGTGCCCAGTATGTAATGCTCAATACAAAACTGAATTCCAGACTAGTCCTATTTAGATTTAGAAATCTGACTGGCTCTATCCTTATCCTCCTCATTACTCTGCTTAATGCTTAACAGACAGCACTATGGTAACATGCTTGGCTCCAACAATTCTATGT